TTTATTAGGCTTGGGTTGTGTAGTGAGGAATTAATAATTTTTGGGCTAAGAAAAGGGTTATTAAACCCTAATGATACTAGGAAAGAACCCTAGAGGGGGAGGGGGGTGAATAGGGTTTATGCTAATCTAATTCGATTTTATTCCAATTAAAACTAATTAACAAATATATCCTAGCAAATGATATGTGACAAGATATATATGCAAGGATATACAAATAACACAAGGATAAACAATCTAAACTAGATAGTGGGCAATATAAATAACAAGCAATATACAAAGACGATATAAGATATGAACATAAAAATAAGTGTGCCAATGCAATCACATACAAATGATATGTTCACGAGGTTCGGTCCCCACGACCTACATCTCCGCTCCTCACCTCAAGGAGATCTCCACTATCACACCGGGTTTTCTACGCTTACCCGAAAAACATTTACACCTCACGATATGATTTTCTAGCTAACCGAAAACTTTACAATCCACACTCACAATATAACTACACTAACTACCACCTCAAGTGTTGGTCTCTAGCCCGTGTCTCCCTCAAGTGTTAGAAATTATAACCTCTCTCTAAGCATTTACACCTACCCCACTCCTCTTGGGACGACCGCGTCTCTCACCACACACTCCTCTTGGTGTACTAGTTTATTACAAAATGATCCTCATAATTAAAGTTCACAACAAAAGATTTGTTCTCTAATACAAGGCGAGAACTTAATATAGCACAACTCTAAGTCACAAACCCCACAGTCCAAATTATACTATGAATGTAAATACTATAAACTCAATAGGTTGTGTGTGATCAAAGAGATTCGATAAAATTAATTTAACTAAACTTAATATAAATCTAGCATCTGGAAATTAGAAACAAAACAATAAATAGCTAAAATGATTTAGGAAAACTTCTCTATAGATCAAGAGAGAGAGAGAGAGAGAGAGATGAGTTGAAGCTCAAACACCAAAGGATGATCTCTTCTTCCTCTTGTGAAATTATCTTCACAAAACCGAAACTTTGAAACAAGGATTTTAAACACCTTTAAACAAACTTAAACAAACTTTTAAAACTCTCTTAAACTTGTTTAAAACATTTCTTTTTGTTAGTATGAAAGATGAGAGCAAGGGGGTATTTATAGGAACCCAAAACTTCAGCCAAAACCCAAGCAAAATGACCAAAAAACCAAATCCCATAAAATCTGGAAACAACAGAAATATAGCCGTTATTGTACGGCGATCGACCGCAGAGCCACTGGCGGTCGACCGCGGCTAAAAACTAGCCGTTGGGCTTGCAAATAGGAAAAGTCACGGTTGACCGCAGAGGTAGGTCTGGTCGACCGCGAACAGCTGAAAATCAAAGCTTGCTTTCTGGAAAAATGACGGTCGACCGTAGAGCCAAGGGCGGTCGATCGCGATTTGATAAAAATCAAAATTCAGTCTCTGGATAAAGCGCGGTCGACCGCAGAGGCACGTGCGGTCGACCATGCACTGATATTTAATGTGCACAGTTTTGAAAACAGATTTGTGATTTTAAAACCCTGTTTAAAAATATCAAACAAATTCCAAAAATTATAAAACTTTGGGAAATGATTGTAGACATGATAATACACATGCTACAAAAATTGGTTTTCAAAAAGAACCTTCCAAATATAAAATATCATCATTTTGCAAAATGGTCCAAAACATGAAAATGAGAACAAATGAATTTTGACATTTTGGCTAAACCATGTTTTAAAACTTTACAAAATGATTTTGTGGACTTAATGAAATATGTGTATGATGATTGTTAAGTCCATAAACCATGAAAACAATATTTTCACAAAATTGCATATTCTATGCAATATATTCTAACATAATAGAGTATGAAACATATGAAGATGTATATGAATATATATATTTGTTTCATATCTATGAAATTAAACCAAAACACAATAAGAAATATGAAATATGTAATTTCATATTTATATAAACTTAGAAACCAAAACATGTATGTATATATATATATATATAAAACCTAAACTAAATATACCCAAGCTTGATCTTGATCTTCATTGTAGCTCAACTTGGTAAACTTGCAGAAGAAGCTTGAACTTGTATCTTTAACTTAAATGAACATTGCTTCACTGCACAATTCCGCCAACCTCCATTGAATATGATCGTGAATGCTCGATTCCATCCATCCTCCATTATATTGTTTGTCTACAATAAATAGATAAACACAAAACACTAGACACATAATATTAGTCGTAAATTGTTTGTTAAACATCATCAAAACAAGAAGGCCAACAATCTCCCCCTTTTTGATGATGACAAACAATTTACACAAAGAGATATATATGCATGAAAGGAAATGAATATATAAATTAGAATTATCATGCATATAAACAAGAAAAGCTATACTCACAATATTTCTCCCTCTTTGACAACATCAAAAAGGGAAAAATACCAAGAATGAAGAGAGCGAAAGCTCCACTTACATATGAGCATGGGTGAGTATAAAACAAGTATAGGGATTGCTCCCCCTATCGAAATGCCTTAATGGATATATGAAATGAATGCTAAGGCAAAAACATGTGAGTAAGCATAAACATGCTAAAATTCAATCACATTCAAAAAGGCAATGAGAACACAATTAGATATGTCATTATGAAATAGTGTCTCATGACAAAAACCTATAAACCATGTATAAAAGATTTATGAAATCAAAAGAAGAAGAACATGTGAGTCTTGCAAAAAAGTTTTCAAATGAAAATAAATCAACCAAATGAAATCATAAATCACAAGTAAATCACATAAAACCAAATCATCATTTTTTAAAAATCAAGAGAGGGAACCATATCTAGCTCTTGAGCTAGTAACAACCCATAAAAATATTTTAGCACCCGGTAAACAAGATTTGGGAATAAACACCCAATAAATTCGGGGGGTTATATAAACACAAACCCCTCATATGAAAACACAAAACAAAGTATATATATATATATATATATATATATCCAAAAAAAATGTTTGATCAATAAATAAAATTTTCTTTGAAAATTTTGATCAAACTATATATAGAATACATTATAAAGCACAAGTAGATGATCCATAAGCACAAACACATAAATATCATCATAGAAGTGTTTTATAATGAATTCAAAAGTACATACTAAAACAAATTCTTCATAGTTCAAATTAAAATTACAAAACATACAAGAATCATGAACTAACTAAAGGTGAATTTTATTATGGTCACGAAAATAAAATCTTTTTTTTAAAATATCCTAATTGTCACTAATTGTGAGAAACTAACTAAAGGTTTGGAATTAAAAATATTAGGAAGAAGACTTACCACAAGCGAATCTCCAATTCCTCAATCTCCAATTCTTGATCTTTAATCTCCAAGTAGTTCTTTCACAAGAAACACACAAGTTAAAGAACCAAAATAATAAAAAATCCTACTTAAGCACCCTCCCCAGCAACGGCGTAAAAAACTTAATGCAGCATAAAAATGTACCAAAAATGTTGCAAGTGCACAACCGTGTCAAGTTATAGTATAAAAAGTTATCGATCCCACGAGGAAGGTGTTTTGTAAGAGAAAATTAAAATTGGTTCTTATGTTGTATGCATGACAAATAGGAGTGAAGAATAAGTGTGATTATGAAGAGATGGAGAGAATGAAAATGATTGTGTAAATGAATATATTTGAGAGTGGAAGTGATAATAAAAAAATGTGATCAACAAGGCAAGAAGAAAAAATCAAGAAATAAATAAAAATCAAGAATGAAAAATAAAATTCAAGAAAGTAAAGATGGTGGATTTAATTAAAGATATGGGTAATCTAAAATTGAACCCACTTCTTAAAAAATTATGATTCACTAGAGAGTTCTAGCCTAAAGGCGAATCAAAGAAAATAAAAATGAACAAAAAGAAAAACTAAACCCAAGAGGGTTCTAGCCTAGGGGTGAATAGTACAAGAAAATAAAATAGTAATTCTCTAGAGGTTTCTAGTCTCAAAGCAAATCAAATAAAATAAAAATAGACAAAAAGAAAAACTAAACCCAAGATGGTTCTAGCCTCAAGGTGAATAGTACAAGAAATTAAAATCTAACTATAAAATAAATTTCAAAATCTAAACTATAAAATAAATTGTAAGAATTAAATGCAAAAAAATAAATCTAGCCTATAAGTATGAAATAAATCTAAGACAAGAGGGTTCTAACCTCTTGGCTATTTAACAAGAAAATAAAATCTAACTACAAGCATAGAAATAAATCTAAACTAATAAGCAATAAAAAAAAATAAAAGAGAAAAATAAAATAAATGCAAACCTTCAAGTAATTCTTCATCTCCATCTTTATTATCCAATAAAGAGAAGAAATATTTAAAGTGGTAAAAAAATTATTTTATTAATTATAACAAAAGTTATAAATTTGAAAGGCCTTCTCAATTAAGAGTGGCCCACCTCTCCAAATGGAGTTACAAAAATTTTCACACCCTTAACCCCTTACTCTCTACCCCTATTTATAGTAAACATTAATGAATATGAGCCTTTGGATTGAAATCTTATCCAAAACCATAAAAAATCAGCCCTTAATTCATAACAGAACTGTCAGTATCGATGCTGGCATCGATGCCGGCATCGATGCTCATATCGATGCTAACATTGATGTCCTATCAAATTTCTGCCTTCACGGATGACTTCGTCTCGTCGAGATAGGCGATTTTGATATATTATATGTTAAATTCCACCTTCTGGATTAAGAGATATTGTCATTTCTTTGCGGCCAACTATCTTGAATATATTTTTTTCATATTTAATTTTTTTATTTTCTCCGACTTCTACAAGCTACTCGGCTTGATTCTGGGCTTTGGCTTTTTGGCTCTTGCTTGTGTTCTTCATTTAATTCATAGGTTTTTGTTGAGAGAAGAGATCTTGGGTTTTATTCTTCATTAACCTGGAGCCTTAAATTAGCAACTGGCTAGATGGGCGCTCCTGCTTTCTAAATACGACATCCTTTATGCCACAGAAGTCAGTCAAGGGGCAAGCCATCTGTGACCTTATGGCCAGTCATCCACTGGAGAAGAGAACTGACTTGTTCGAAGATCTGCCGGATGAGACCCCCGAGGTCAACACAACCTTTCCCGAGGAAGTTTGGCAATTATTCTTCGATGGCGCTTCTTACGTTGGCACAAGCTGGTCTATCATTGCGGGAGAAGGGGTGGTCTTGATCTCTCCACAAAACCATGTATTACCCTGGGCCTTTTCTCTGATGGAGCCGTGCACCAATAATGTGGCTGAGTACAATGCGTTGCTCATTGGACTCGAACTGGCTAAGAAACTAGGGATAAAGCACCTCGAGACGTACGGTGACTCTCAGCTCAACGTCATACAGATGACAGGAGAGTACGAAGTTAGAAATGACGATCTGATCCTGCTTCATAAAACAACTATCAAACTAGCTGAGTCATTCGAAAGCTTTCTCATTGAGCATGTGATTCGTTCCAAGAACACGCACGCAGACGCCCTGGCGTCCTTAGCAGCTAACCTTGCCCAGCCGCTAGAGATGACTCAATGTGTCATTGTAGCGAGCCGACGACTCTTTTGGCCAGAAGATGTTCTGGATGTGAACACCACTCATCAAGCCTCAAGCAAACCTAACCCGAAAGATTGGCGTTTCCCGATCATCGACTACATCTTATACGGTATATTACCTGAAGATGTTAGGGAACGAGAGTCAATTCGCAAGTGCGCCGCTAGGTTCTACTATGACTCCGCTACTAAGACATTGTATCGTAGGTCATATGATGACATGCTACTTCGATGTCCTGGGATGGTCAGCGATGCAGTCGCGTATGCAAGGAGCTGCCACTCTTGCCAAATCCATGCTAATTACATGCACCGACCGCCTGAAGACCTGCACCCGACAGCGACTTCGTGGCCAATCAAATCATGGGGGATGGATATTATCGGACCAATATCTCCGCCATCAGCTAGAGGTCATCGCTTCATACAGGCGATCACCGATTACTTCTCGAAGTAGGCCGAAGCTGTTCCCTTACGAGAAGTCAAAACGAATGACGTAATCAGATTCATCAAACATCACGTCATATACCGATATGGCGTTCCAAGGCGAATCATTCATGACAACGGCACATAGTTTGTCAGTCATGCATTCACCCGGTTCTGTGACAAGTTCAGAATACAGAACCTTGCCTCTACGGCTTATAATCCCTCAGCAAATGAGATAGCCGAGGCCTTCAACAAGACGATCGGCAAGATCCTAACCAAACTGACATCCAGTTGCAAAAACGATTGGAATGAGAAGCTTGGCGAGGGCTTGTGGGCGTATCGCACGATGGTTCGTACGCCGACCGATAATATGCCTTACTCATTAGTATACGACTACGAGGCCATACTACCTCTTGAGATCCAGATCCCATCCCTCCGCGTTGCTCTCACGATGGGAATGACAATGGAGGATAGCCATCAATGGCGTCTCACAGATCTCGAAGTGCTAGATGAGAAACGGCTTGAAGCTCAACAGTACATTGAGTTATACCAACTCCGAATAGCCAAGGCCTTCGACAAGAAAGTTAAGCATCGATCTTTCAAGGAAGGAGAGCTGGTCTTCACTGTTCAACAACCAATGATTCTCAACTCCAAGAAGAAGGGCAAGTTCCAACCTAAGTGGGAAGGACCGTTTGTAATAGAGACTGTCTATTCGAACGGAGCTTACCGCCTCATCAAACCGAATGGCAATAAGATCATGATGCCTATCAACGGCAAATTCCTGAAGAAGTACTATCCTTAGTCCTCTTTCAACTTCAACTGGTGCACGAGTCTAAACAGCGCCTTATACTCTAACTGGTGCACGAGTCTAAACTACGCCTTATGTTCCCACGAGTGCATGAGTCTAAACTGCCCTTTTACCCTCCAACCGGTACGCGAGGCTAAACTGTTCCTACGTCATATACGCTGACGTAAGTACAGGTATGAGTCGCTTCTTGTGGGAAACCCCAGAGGATACTACACATGATATTATTAGGGATGGCCCAGATCACTATTCGATCTGACCTTCCTACAGTCAGGGTCAAAGCCGACTATCAAGGATGAAAGGTCCTCATAGTTGCTCCGAGCGCAACGAAATGCTATCATATTAATGATCATCTCTGATGGCCAGCCTTGTTATTCCTATGAGTAACGTGGCCCAAGTAGTGACCTACCACGTGACGTGTTGCTACTCCGTCAGTTGTCATACTCCTACGTCCTTGAACTACCTGACCTATTCTGAATATTCTAATACTCTCTTAGAATAACCGATGGGTAGCAGCCCACCATGCGACGGCTCCTACAATAACCAATCGTCATACTCCCACGTCCCTGAATGATTTGATTATTTCTACTCTGTCATCCCCCTGAGTGACGGTGTCATCGATAGCGACCTACCAAGTGATGTGTCTTGTCGATCCTCAAGCAGCGACCTACCAAGCGATGAGTCATGGCTCGAACCCTATCCCGACCACCTACATAGGTGATCGGCTGTTTTGGGCTAAGTTGTCCAACTTAACTATGACTTAACGGTCAAAGTTAACCCGGCCCTACGCTTCGAACAAGCCAAAGATAGAGGATAAATCTTAGCATAAAGCCTAAAAGAATCTCCTCGACAACTCACAACGCTGAGGAAAAACAGCGTGGCTAACTCGACTCAAGCAGCAGTCGGTTCAGGCAAGTCAAGTTCGTTGACTGCCAAGGATTTGCTAAAAGTCCTAAGCATAGATCAACACAGGAAATGAGGAAAGACTAAAAATACAAAACCAAAAATAATCAAAAGCATAAGAAGCCATTCCAGACTGAGTTTAAGAGCACCATGTTTTAGGAACATCAGCAAAATTATAGCAGTGCATAACAAAAAAGAAAAGCATCCTAAATTAACTTCAGTAGGATGAAGGTGGCGATCCTAGCCTTGACATCCACGAGCTCCGCCGCATGCCGAGCTCGAACCTTTTCCTCCTGCCTCTGTTGGAGCTTGTCGAGAGCAGCCTCAGCATCCTCCTCTTCCTAGCGCAGGACTTGTAGGGCTTGCAACTCCTCGATAGCGATGCAAAGAACCCTTCTGTTCTCTTCTTGCCACTACTTCAGATCTTCCTCTCCCTGAGCAGACTTGACCTCCAAGAAGGAGCAATCGTCATGATAAGCGTCCATCCTAGCCAGCAAGCCACGGTGTCGCTTGTGCAGACGTGTAAGCTTGGCCTCCTTCTCTGAGATCATCCTCTCTCGAGCGTCGCATTCAAGAGTCCTTTGAAGTTGGGCAGTCCTTAGGAGGGGCGTCGATTCATCGCTAAGGTCGGTATGCGCCAGCTCCTTCAGGCGATACATGAGTCCTTCCAAGCGATGAAGCTCTCGCTTGCATCATCTGGCGAGTTGAGAGCCGCCCACACGTCGTATCTCCTCCAGATTCTCATCCACAAGAGGGAGCATGTCGTAATACCTCCCGCTGCCTTAGCTGACGATGGTAATCTCCTGTTGCAAAGAGGTCTCCAGCTTTTGGAGAAGGACGACGACCCCAAACACCTGTTGACCACCCTCCTCCTTCACAGAGTGAGGGGCCTTCCCAGGCGATTGCCGAGCAATGGCTGCTAAGAACAAAAAAAGAGGGGAAAGAAGTTAGAAGTCTGGACTCCAGAGGCCGGGAGTCATCTTACGCAGCGCGGATGAACCCCATATCGATAGGCGAGTCACGAGTCAAGCTCGCCTATAAGTCAGGGTCCACCACAAAGGCTAAGCTCGCCTGCAGGGAGCAGAGGCTCACCAAACGGGCTGAGCGCCATCAGCTCGCCAAGGCAACTAAACCCCCACCAAAAGAGAGGGCGTCTATGGGGAAAGATGAGCGACAAGCGCTCGACTCCCACAAATTTTGCCCGTATTTAAGGCCTTTTCAGCTCTACGGAATGCCCAAACATACCACGCCGAGTCCGGCTAGTAACGGGGCCGACGATCGTGACGGCGTCAGCACCTTCCGTGGCAGAGGAAAGGGCCACCTCCTTCCTCTTCAAAACGCTTGACTTTGCCTCGGAGGCCATTTTAGGAGCAGGAGAGATGTTCGAACCCTCTTTGAATGAAGCTTCATGAGCGCGAGTAGTCCCCAAGTGGAGGACGAGCGCGCTATATAAGCGGGATTTCGACGGTCAAGATCCACGGGCTTAAGTAAATCAACGGCTCTGATTCCTCATGATGGTTCGAATTCGACGGCCACGAAAACCCTGACCTTTAGGATCCTACACAGACGGCTCAGATCGAGCACAAAAGGCGAGGTGTCCCGTCACTTCATATTTAATGTGAGGCAGTGTGCCTACATCACCTTAGCTAGCAAGCACAAAGGTCCATGGAAGGATGTGTGGCTCATTCAACGTGACTTCACTTATTGCGGAGAGTTCGCATGAGGCATAAACTCGCCAAGGCTGGAATTCGCATGTGGCTTAAACTCGCCAAAGCTTGAGTTCGCCTGTGGGTTGAACTCGACCAAGCTTGAGTCTGCCCATTGTAGGAACTATCCTAAGCTTGAGTTTACCCACAGCATGAATTCGTCTATGGCGTGGTTTCGCTTGGACTCGAGATGGCCTATTGCCAACCCAACTAAAGAGCTGAGTGTTGGACAACAATACGCAGCAGAAAGGGGTGCATGCACAATGTAATGAGAAATTAAGAAAATACGAAATTCATGTATCAGTAGTTTTCAAAACAAGACATTCAAATAAAGTTACGACTTTATAATCAAACAAGTCATAACACTACATTAGGAACAAAAGATCGAACAAGATAGCTGAAATCTACTCCTATCTTACAAGCTCATTCCAGAAAGCTAAAAGACGTAAGCTTCGCCTTACCTGTAGCTATCCTCTCGGCCTGGATCACGCAAGCCTCGTCCTTCACCTCCTACCTGATCCTCGCCTCTAAAGAAGCGTTAGTTGTAGCGTCTTCTTGGCGCAACGTTAGAAGAATACGCCTCTCTCTCGCAAGGGCACCTTGGATAGTCTCACTCTGGATACGTAGGCCCATCAAAGTCAGCTCCCCCTCGGTAGGTGGGATGTTCCCCAGATAACCGAGGTAATAGTAGCCTCCACCTCGGCTTGCAATAGGCGCCATCGGTTGTCCAAGTCGGCGATGAGAGACTCCTTGTCTTCTATGTCCCTTCTCCGACACTCTTGTTGCCATGCCTCACGACGCCGAGACAGAGAAGAGAAGTACGCCACGTCTGGCTCTAGATCTGAATGCCGTAATTCCTCTAACCTTGCTAAGAATAGTTCCAGATTAAGAAGCTTCATCGAACAGTGTATGGCAAGTTTGTAATCGCCCAGGTGTCGAATGTTGGCCACACGATCTAAGAGAGGCTGCTTGAGATCTACATAGGTGCCACGGCCTTGGTCAACGAGGGAGATCACTCGCTTCGTGGCACTCTCCAATCCTTGAACATGCATCTACAAATTAGCAGAACCTGAGGAACTAGATTCCTGGCCACGATCAAGTGCAGTGGTAGAGGAGGTCTCGGGGTGAGACTTTACTCCTGGATGAGGAGCGGGCAGTGAAGCGGGCGCGACCACACGTTTGGGTTCAGGCTCTGGCCCCTCAGTGTTTGGAACTCTCTCTGGTGCTGACAAAAAAAATCAGAATCATGAACGTGTCATGCTAACCAGCTAAGAGGTTTAAAAAGGGAATACCTTTAGCAGCATCTGCGGACACGTCGGCAGCGGAGGCCTCATCGTCCCTCCCCCTCTTTTTTGAGATGGGTACCTTCACTCGCGGTGCCATCCTAAACACGGGAGAAATGACGAACACTCTGGCCTCTCCGACAGGGAGGGAGAACGCTATATAACAACCCAAGTTCACTCTTACTGTTTGATTCGACAGTTCAGATCGAACAGTCACAAAGGAGGCAAAACGGTTTGGAACCTCACACGGACGACCAGGATCTGACAGCTGTGAACCTGATCTTTAGCCAATGGCCTAGATCTAGCGTGGGAAATGAAGAGCCCCCACTATACT